GAGGTCGCATAGTTCCCCCTGCTCCGGGATCGCCGTTATCAACACGTCGGATGTCGTCGTAACCTGTTAGTGAATATCGATAAGTCGCACAAAAGAAACAGACAAAAAGAAGGGTGCGTTCTCCTCCAAGCTAGATATAAAACAGACTACATTCTATGAACATCAGCGCGTAACGTGCGAGTCATTCAACACGTCCTTCATTCCGCCAGCACGATAGGGCTTGCCACAAGCAACTTTTACGCATATACTTTCGCGGCGAACATTCTGCATCGTGTGGATACTGGACTGCTGTGCCTAGCCCAGCCACATGGTCGATCTGGTGGAACCCACGCCATTCATTTGAGTCTTCAGCATGCTCCACGACTGGAAAATGTTGTGGCACGCGAACGTATAAGTCAAAGTTGTGTGTGTTTCCCTTGCTTGCCTACGCTTTTGCGGATACGGTGTAGTCAGTGTCGATGTATTTGTCGATAAAATTGTCTCAAGAACAATGACCGGCATGGAGCGTGCACCCTATTTTTATCACACAACCCCATCGCTCTCTTCTAAGCGCCGTGCCCAGAAGGAAACGTATATGTCCGTCGGCGAAACGTAGCCAGCAATTTATGTGGACTTTTTCCCTGTGTGTGTTGTATGAACACGGAGAACACTGATCGAGACAACAGGTAAACCAACGAAACCAACAGCGATGCTGTATGCACAAGAGGTGGCTTCACCTCTTCTCTGCGCCTGGATATCAAACTGACGGTAACCCACCGTGGTCGAGTCAAGCGGTTGCACCGTGACCCCGCAGGTGTAAAAGTTCGTGATCATCGCGTACTTGTACTGCTCGCTAATTCCGAACCACAGCGACCCGTTGCCGGCGGCGGAGAGGTACATCTCAAGCCTCCCGTAGGTATAGGGTCGGAGAGTCGGCGTGTTCTGAAAGGCTGAAAGCTGAGGGTCGGCATCGGAAGAGCACACAAATGTCTGCCCCAGCTCGACAGTCCGTCCGAAGTAGAACCAGCACCTGGCCCCGGTGCGAGAAACACGAGAGGGGGGTCCGGTGAGCGTGTGCGTGGAAACGACACGTACTTGTGTCGTCGTCGTGAGAAATTGAACCAGAAGATCGTCCAGTGGTGCGATACCGGAAAATAACGCTGCAGTTTCAAGCGGCAGGGGGTACGGTACGAACATTCATGCCGGGAAAACGAGATACTGACGCTCCCCTCGCGGCGAAACGCAGATGCGACGGTCATGAACGACGAGTGCACCCGGCTACGATCTCTAGGTGATTGTCGGCACAACTACCTTTTCCACCAGCGGGTAGCGCCTCCGTTCTGGGTGGGCTAAAATTGGCATGTTGTCTTGGTGGGCATGATACTCACAGAACGTCAACAACATTCAAGGTTTTTCGTGAAGATCAAAGTAACGTCGAATTCTGAACGGGTTCACAAGGATGGCTACATATTGCAGGTTGCGTTGGGCCCCCTCCCGGTGTACAAGATAGCAACATATCACCGGTGGTGTTGTACCCCCTCCCTCTGCCCCCCCCAATTGTTTCATCATCATTGTTGTTGTTGTTGTTGTTGTTGTTGTTGTTGTTGTTGTTGTTGTTATCTTCACATTAAAAACCGTTCCGATCGCTCTCTCCCCACTACCTTCATATGTCCGTACTGATCCAACACTTGATGCAGTCGATTCCCGTGGTCACAGGCTAACTTACCCTGAAAAAGGTACACTCAAATAAACTGGCCCCGAGGGGTCCGGCATGGATATGTCCCAATGACTTGTTTTGATCGGGGGTAGTGATGTTAATCGGGGGTAGTGATGTTAATAGGTGATTTGACCAAGCTTCCTCCTCTTTGAGTTGCACGTGGTACGTATTTCGGTATTTTCCTAGCCTGGGTTATCAGCACATTTATGACGACACGAACGGTGTTTTGGGTTGGGCCTCTGTGTACAACACCAACGAGTACACGACGGCATATTTTGAAGAAGCATAAACTCCTTATTAGTTCGGCGCGATGCGAGAAAAATAATGCCAAGCTGTTTTCGTGTTGCTTAACGAACAGGTCACGAAAGCAGCACCAAGCATTTCGTTTGATTTGTCCCCGGTGAGTGGTACGACAACCGTCAAACAGCCCACAGGCCTCCGACATATACCTTCACCTTTCTTCATATGCATCGTTTGCTTCGTCAGAAGTCAGACTATTGGCGTCCTCAAGCGTAAGAGATGGGTCCACCCCCCCAAGGACCCATCCCCAGTCGCCCGAATACGCCTCCCGAGAAGCGAGGTTGAATCGCACTGAAATAACGTCACCAATGTTGGTGCTCTCAACCTGCGTATCGTTGTGGAACGTGGAACGGGAGAAAGGAAGCCGTTTTGGTGGTGCAGCGGTGTCACACCCACTAAGTGGTAAATACGTCTTGCTGCTTTTCATAGAAGCAGTTCACGCCGTCTACGGAACACGACCTAATGTGATTTACCTGGATAAAGCACTCTACCAGTGTATGTCAGGGAGGGTGGTGCACTATATGTAGTTGTAGATCGACGGTTGTTGGGCCACATGTGTCGATAGATCCGAGCGACCTACTCCGACTTTGATTTGTCTTCGGTCACCAGATGGCGGCATCTCCTTTCGACAAACATCTACCACTTCGCCAACTTGACAAGTCTTGGGGAGTCACCTCTTGGGCTTGGAATAGGTGAGGGCTGCTGACAGGTCACATGAAGTGGTGAAAGAACATGTGGATTGGTGCTCCACAGAGTTCGTAAACATCTGTTTCATATTCGAGCTACGCAATCTATTGACATGGCGGCAGTAGTCGAGTCTGAGGCGCTCGGGGCCGTCGAGGGGTTGCAGATTTTTCTGCAGGTCTCTTTTAAGTCCTCCGGAAGGATGTCTCGGAGCACAGCGTTGGTTGGTCCGGTAACCGAAACATGAACTCTGACAGTCGTGACCCTTCCCAACTTCGAACCTCAAAAGGATCATTTCGGTCGAGCAATGGTCCGTGTTGGCCTCAACAGAGTCACACTGTATTTCTTGCCGTACCGCAAGAACAGCAATATATCCCGTCCTGTTAGCATCCTATATTATATTTGAGTGCAACGATGCGCATACAAAGCACGGTACGTTTGTTGTGTGCTTTCCGAACCATTTCTCGAATGTTGTACGTTTCAGCAATAGTTGCCTAAACTCCCTGCACACCCTGTACAACTATGACAAAAAAATACAAAGGATAGTGGGTTAAGGGTCCGACTATCCCGTTTTTATTTGAATCATAGTGACCCAAAACATGGAGCCAGTACTTCATTGGAAAGTCCCCCAAGATTATCAGTAAGTAGTTGATTGGAATCAACTAGTTGCACAAGATTTTGACCAAGTAGTTGTTTTGGCAAACAAGAAGTGCAACATTTTTTTCAGCGATGTCTCATCTTGGTAGCTATGCGTGCCTCGCAGTAGCGGGAACAAATCGCGACCTTCTTCACACTTTTTGTGGAGCCTTTGGCAATAAAAATGTAAAAAGTCCAGTCGAAGTAAAGTTGTTCGTACAACTTTCATCCTCTAGCAGTTGATTCGAAACATAGTTGCGCAAGATTCTAGCGGACTAGTTGTTTGAAAAGAAGTTGCCCAAGATTCTGACCGAGTTGTTCATTGGAAACACCTGTAGTTGCACAAGATTCTGTTTGGAATCAACTGCGTGCGGTACATGTAGTCTACATAGTCACCACACATCGTCACCAAGATTCTGAGTAGTAGTTGATTGACCAAATACAACTTGGATGTATTTGCGTGTTTGGAAATCGCCACTAGATTACACAAGTGAACCGTTTGATTGGCATCGCTAACGAGGAATTTACAGCAATGGTAGACTGTGTAGTCTATGCAAAGTAAAGTATGCATGTACTTGCCTCAAGAAAGTCGTAAGGAGGCTGAAAAATTGTGACGTCCACGCACTCCTCCGTTGAACACGTTTCATCATCGCCGTCGTCGCCATCACCACTAGCAACTACAAGCAGGCAAGCGGTGTAAAACCCTGGCTCGCTTAGCAGCACTGACGCTTGCCCAACCCCAGAAGTGAGAGTTGTCGCCTCGGGCCTGTTTTGGTCTAGAGAAGCAGTGTACCACCACGTGTTTCCATCGGCCAGGTCAACGGAAGCAAGAGCTCTATTTTCATCCGTGTTGAAAGCGTTCTGAGAGTGAGAGTCGAAAGCGTCCTCTCGGAAGGTGCATATGTCACCCGCGTCCCCGCCTATGAGTGGAGAGTAAGAAGACGTCGTGGACGAAGGAGGAGAGTTTGCCCGGGAGATACCGTTGTCTGATTCCCACCATAAGGATGTCGTCGCCTCCTCGTCCCAGGTGAAAACGATCAGATGGTTGGCGCTCTGCCGAGAGTCCGGGATTTCCCACGAAATGTTCGTGAGCGTTCGGGCATGCCATGAAATGACGGCCAAGAGGTCGCTGTCATACGTCGCACTTGAGTTGCTGGTTCGGGGATCTACAGCGAACACTCGCATCCTGGCCAACGGTAGCAGCAGCACCACCGACACCTTCGGCAAAGGTCCAAAGAGCTGAAACAACATGCTGTGTGTGGTCGCAGCGGGGCATCCCAATACAGCAGTTGTGACAGGAAATACCCGTAAAGAAGTGCGCGTGCTTTCAAGGTTCCGAGTTTTCCACGTGTATCGCGTGTGTCGAAGCGACGCGTGGAAAATGACTTGCACACGTACTTGTACTACAAGGGCACCGTACATACTGATACACGGGCACGCATCACATCAAGTACGGTCGGCCGTTTCAAATGCGGTGCAACCACCGATGCTTCGGGACAAAAGAGAACCACACGGGTATGCTATGCATTTCCAAAAATAATATTCACGGCGCCCCTTGTCGTGGTTCTTGACATGTTGAGCGATTGTTGTGCTGTGCTGTGTGTGCGATGTGTTGCAGGTGCAGTTGGCTTGCCAGTTACGCAGGCGTAATGAGGTGCTAAGCGACAGCAACAGAGTGGCATCCATGAATAATACAGACTGCACCGAATCGAGCAGCGTTCCCCGATTATTGTCGCTCCTGGTTGCCTCGGTGGAGGAGGCCTCACAGGCGTGTTCTTCATCCTGGGAAGGGGAGTATAACCCTCCCGAGAACACTTGGTCAGCAAGAACAACATGCTCGTCGAGTCTCCGAATACGGGGGTTGCGCCGGGCCTACAACATTCTCCTTTTTGGTGGTCCGAGTCACGCCGAGATCCTAGCTCAAGCAGCCCTTGAGGACAGCAACCACTACTGCTGTGACAACTTCGACGCGGGCCCGTCCGTTGCTGCTGCTGTCTCGGTCGTATCTCTCGAGCTTCGCCGAGCTCGGAGGTACGATCCAGCGAACGCGCTCGAAGGTCTTGTGGAAGACTTGATTGCATCTAATGGGTGTAAGGAACGACAGCGAGAAGATACAGACGGTTGTTCAAGTGCCGTGGAAAATGTTCTGAGGCTTCTCTTGGCCCTTCGGGGGGAAGGACGACGGGCTTCGGATGTCGACGATTGGGAGCTTCTGGGAGGGCACAGTCGCCGAGTATTGGAACGGTTGTACAGCAGCAGCAGCAGCAGCAGCAGCAGCAGCATCGGTGGTAAGTCAAGTAGCCTTCCGGTGGCGATGTTCTTTCGCGGCGAACAACGAGACCATCCGTCTGACCACCGCGTAGAGGCGGTTGGTTTGGACATCTGCACCTCTGATGCAGCGGCAGGGTGTCGTGCTGAGGGTCTTGGTAAGGCGGACGAACCTGCTCTAGCGACAAAGGCAGCATCCCTCGGCGTGCGGCAGCAGCAACATCGATATCTTCTGCCCGTCGACTGCGTGCTACACGGAGACAGCACCGCCACCCCCGCTGCCACTACGCTGTCCTCTACCGTACTTTCCTTTTCCGACACGGCCAAGCACGGCGTTGTTGGCGCGATTGAGCGCATACCCTGGTTCACGGACGCCGAATTTTCCTCGGAGAGAGGCATTCCCAACATGAATAAGGGACCGTCCCTGGACGAGGGCTTGGAGTTTATGGCAACCGCGCCGCTCTCACCAGCCAACTGGACCAGATTGCGCGAGAGCTCCGCTACTGCTGGGGACGACACAGTGGTAGCCCATGGTTCTAGGGGGGCTCCTGTTGCCCCGGTGATGGTCGTGGGACACGGGGAAGGCATTGGGGTTCGAAGGTCAAACCTTTCCATGCCGGCGGTAGCTGCTAGTCAAGTTAATGGTGGGGCATCATTGGTGCATGGCGGTCTCGACCTCTGTGGGGCTCTTAGTCAAGCCAATATAGACGCGCGATCTCCTGCCGTTCGAGAACTCCGACTCGCGCTTTCCTTTCCCGACCTTGACGAGAGCCTCCCGACGGACCTTTTGGAAGCCGCGAAGCTGTATGAGCCCCCTGGACGACCAACCGACCACCCCGTCGGCGACGGATATCAACACGGGCTCCCGGAGAGAACTTTTGGCGAGGCTAACGTTTTATGGCAGAGTCCCCGCGGAGTGCTACGCTCACCGAAGGGGAAGTGCGGCAGGATGTTACCGATGGACGAATTTGCACCACCCTGGGCAAGCAATAACGGTGGTCACCTTTCGGGAGTGATTCATGATGCGGCAAATCATGAAGTTGCTGCGCTCGAGCTGGAGCCGGTCGGGTGGGAGCGGACAGAAGCCGATTGGAACGACCCCTCGTTCCCGAAGTGGGCGCTCGCGTGTGCCCCCCTCGCTACGGGCGAGGGCGGCGGACCTAGCTCGAAAAAGGCGTTCGAGTTGTGCTATCGCGAACACTTCGGGTGGGCTGGGTTGGGTGGCTCCTTGGGAGAAGCAGACTCTACGGCCAAGGCCGAGGTGGAGGTGGTACGCCGGGCACTCGCGGCCTTGCAAGGTGTGCCATCCGGGTACTTTTGGTATGACGAGACTCGCGCACAAATGTGCGTGTGCGGGAACGTTGGGCAGGACGGAGCAGTAGAGGAGGCGCCATCGATGCCGCCGCGGGTAGCTGGTCTCTCTCCCGGCGCGCTCTCGTCGCTACTGGAAGAGTTCGCGATGGCCGGGACTTGGTATCGCAGGGTGCAAGAATTAGTCCGTTGTCTCGTGAACGCATCATCCTCTAACGGACAGGTATCGCGCGCGTTCGGGATTGAATTGAGGCGGCAGCTGACCGAGGTCGAGTCCGCCCTGCTTGTAGTCACGATGGAGCTCGAGGGCCTTGAGTGGAATGAGTCTGACTCGGCCTGCCTCCACGGCACCCAGGATACACCGCTCAATGAACAACGCTTCTGCTCGCTGGCCGGGATCCTCGCCTACACTACCCAACTCCGACGAGCAGTGGGAGCGCTCGCAGAGATCTGCGGCCTTTCTGAGGACGATCTGCGGTCTGCCGGGGGCGTGAGGGCTGTGTTCAACGCGTTCCCTCGAGGGGCTTCCCTGCTGACATACCTCTACAAGGCTGCAGAGGTCAGGGTGGCGTCGAAGCCTGGGGGGGAGAGTACCTGCTTTTTCGGGAGGGTGATGGCAGAGGGGGATTCCGCCCTTGCGCTGTTGAGCAGTGCCGCGACGCCGTACTTGTCTATGTTGGGCCGATGGCTGTGGTCCGGAGAGATGTGGGCAGAGGATGACCCTTGCGAGGAATTTCCTCTGCGCTGCCGAGAGGGACTGACAGGTAACGACACCTCGAAGGCGACCAAGGAACCTTGGACGGAAGACGGTGGCGGTAGCTTCATGAGCCTTGCTTTCTGTGAGAACGGAGCGGCCGGTGTTCCCTGCTTCCTCGCAGGAGGCGTGTTGCATGCCGCCGCCCGGGCCGGAAAACTTTTGCGCATGCTCAAGGTTCGTTTTTTTTTTTCGTTTCGTGCAAACGCAGATGGTGTACTCTGGAGAGATGAGCTAACCGTTCTCGAAGTATCCATGTCCGTTCTTACGGTAAATATCTTTCCGGCTGTCTGCGAAAGGCCTACCTTTGTCTGATGATGCTCGTGAGTGTACCACTCCAACAGTCACAAGGTGCTTCCCTAGCCATCCCCACAACGCAACCCCCCCGCCCTTTACCTTCTCTGTCGCCCGCAGCTCTCAAGCCCGGAGTTTTACACTGCTTGTTCGGCTTCACCTCCGCCGCCGCTCTCGCTGGAGTTCGGATCGCGTGCTCTGGCATCCCGTGTAGCAATTTTCGAGCGCCTAAGGCTGCTGCGGGCAGCGGCGGGGCAGTCAGCTGCTCGCGAGATTCGAGCACGCGTTGCGGAAAAAGAGATGAAGACTGGAATGACACGTGGGGGTGGGAGCGAACAGTTGGTGGCGGAAGAGAGGTCGGCTCTCGGGAAGCTCCAGGTACGCACGGCTTGTCTTGGAGGGGGGGGGGGGGGGGGGGG